ATATATATATATATATATATATATATATATATATGTATCCTTATTTATCTTTTTTTGTATCTTTTTTGTCTTCTTTTTTTTCATAAGTCCGAGACGAGATATCATTTTTTTGACGATTCTAGTTACGCGTTTCATTCGTCAGTAATTTTATTCACATTGCTCCTTTGCTCAATTTATTGTAAAAATATTATTGAAAGAAAAAAAAAAAAAGAAAAAGAAAAAATGTCTTACGTCAATGATAAGATTGAAAAATGAAATCTTTGAGAGATGATTTCAAAAAGTCTTGAATTTAAGTGAAATTTCATATTAAAATGTTATTAGGATTATTAGATTTATCATTAATTATTACGTATTATATATAAATTACTTAGATGAAGATGAGATTTCAAATAGAATTTATGAGAGAGAAATTAAGAACGTAAATAAAAAGTTTTTTTTTTTTTTTTAATAAAGGAATCGTGTGCAAGCACGATCGTAGTACAAGGCACGTCTCACGTTTTAAGACGGAAGTAATATTTAACTGCCATTGTAATCAAGCTCTAGGTTTCTACTTTGGGCCAAGGGAAACTTACTTGAAATTTACGTTTTACCGCAGAATCCTTACGGTGGTTTATAATAAAATACGGCTGTCGTTTTAAACTAATTCGTAGAAAACGAAATGAGAAGCGTTCTCATAGATAAATTACAAGAAAACGTATCATAGTAGCACAAAATATTGAAAAATATTGAATACATGTGTATATTTAATATTAAAAAGAGATTCAATGTCATATATTGAATATTTTTCAATATTTTCTGTTACTAGGGTAGAAAGGAAAGCAAAAAATATGACAAAAGATTTGAAAAGAGAAGAAGAAGAAGAAGAAGAAGAAGAAGAAGAAGAAGAAAAAAGAAAAGAAAATTTTTCGATAGCATATTTTTAACAACGATTAATAAATTATTAGGTTAGCAAGTAAATAATTGCGGATTTTTTCTATAGGTTGCTTTTAAAAATCAGCAATGACTTAGTTGCCAATATAATATTAGTCATTTTTCTGTTTATAAACATTTTCAGAACTTTCCTTTAATAAAATAGGAAGCAATTGGTAATAGTAAACCCCAAGCTTCGTAATACTTCGAAGCTCCTTTTACCAAAATCGTTTAAAGCAGCAACTTAAATATTGATACTCGAGTTGATTTGCAGTATCTCTCCCCTTCTTCAGTGATTCTCAATCCTGATTCTCGATATTTTTGGAAATGAGTAACGAATGAGATTAATAAACGAAAAGTAGCTTATATTAAATGAAATATTTATTTATTATTAATTAATAACATTTAAAAAAGTTTCTAATAATTTTGTTTACAAAAGAATATGATCCTTAGTTGAGTTAATCGTTCATAAATTATGAGCCACCCGTTTATGGTTTGTTAATAAGGTTAAGATTAAATTACATCGATTAAATTAATTTATTAGGGATAAATAGGATTAAATTTATTTGTAGGATCGTTTATATCGCTATTATTTTTATTTTTTATATTGCTAATTTAAGAATTAATTATTTAGAAGTTATCTCTAGGTTTCTATGTTCTTTAAGTTTTCAATAGATGGGTGTTGTATTTCAATTCAATTTTAAGTAACTAACCTTGCTTTTCATATTTTTTCGTGTACTATTATTTTATGCAGTTTATTTTCATTGTGATATTATTTTGTGTATTGTTATAATTTACTAAATAGTTTAGAATTATATTATTATAGAATATAAAAATAATTAATATATATATATATAATTACATCCTAGTAATATTATATATTAAATATTGATGAATTTACAATTTGGCAGGAACCAGCAAAAAATTGTAGATAAAGTAATATAATTTTATACTATATATATATTTTTTTTTTATGTAGCTTTATTTATTGTCGCATCAACCAACAGGGATTATTAGCGACAGATAATGTATTAATTAGAATGAAAATAATTTTATATAGAATTAAATATATTTAATTTGATCATATATTAATCATATAAGTTATATATTAGATAATATATATGTATATATAACATACGTGTATACAAACAGAGAGAAAGAGAGATTAGATCTATCGTAGATAATTTAGGAAGGACGAAGCATTCTCTTGATACAAATGTCCAGTTCAACCCGCAAAATGTCGTGCAATACGAAAGGGGAATTCGGGAAGAGGTAGAGATAGACTAGTGTTATCACTTCTCTATATTACTCGTAATTAGTATGGGATGAGGGAGATATCACGTAGTTATCGTAACACACAAATCTTGTACCTTCCTTTCAGAGACCTCATGGATTTCATCGATAATACTCTGAGATTCCGACGAACTTAATTCCCCTTTGACAGGTCTCTACGCATCCTGCTGAAGTCACATACTGAGAGAGTGAGAGAATGACAGAGATAGAGAGAGAGAGAGTACGAAAATTGCTATCACGCAAAGGAAAATTAATTGCGAATTTGACTTCAAACGTAGAGTAACCGTGTCTCTAAGTTACAACCTAAAGTGTTAATCAATAAAACTGTCAAATTTAATTAACTTTTTCATCATTTTCTAACAAAGATATTAAATATATATTAATAATATAGTAATGTTATATTAGAACCAAAATCAAATCAAATTAAATCAAAATCGTGTCAAATATTTAACAGACATTTAAATTATTATTATTTTTTTTTTTTTTTTTTAATTCTTTTTTTATCGATACGAAAAGTTTTTATGGGAAAAAAATAATTGTCCAATAAATCAAACTTTTCGTATCGTAAAATATATATATATATATATATAAATGGATATGATTGAAACTTTCGTGATTATCGATTAAAAATTAATTATTGAAAAATTCGATGAGATATTAAATTCTTATTTGAAAGAAATATAATGTTCGTAATAACAATTTACGATATTATTATACGTATTTCTATCGTACGATAGAATATATGATATGAGGTATGTTAAACGAATACGATTTAGTCGATTTCTCTCGTTAAATGTTATCGAGCTATTATCGAAAAATTGAAACGGAATCGATTCCAACAGAAGCCATCAATAAAATTTCAAGGTATTATCCTAGGTATGGAAATGTAGATAGACCAAAGTTACGACCTACGAAAATGTTCAAGCCGTGACATTGGAAATACGAATTTCACTATCCATCCCTATATCTATATTTATTTAGATACTATCCATACCTCTATAAACCATTGTATATTCACATATATATGTATGTATATAGATATGTGCATGAATACGTATAATTCATACGTGCATTGTTTTAACGCAATAGCTGTAAAATAGACGTACGACCAATATTATGACCTTCATGATTATACCTGTCATGTTACAAGAATATATATATATATATACACCCTTTCCAAAAAGTTCGTAGGTACGTTATAACGAGACATGATTAAAGGCACGCGTACTTTACGAAAATTTAAAGTCTATTTTCTCGAAAATAAAACCTTAAACGAAAAATTTTTATTCTATATCTTCTAATAATTGTTTCATGTAAACTCACCCCCTTTTCGCTTGTACCACCAGTTACAGATCACCCTGTATATATGTAATATATTTTGACAAATATTTAAACAAATTTTCTATTCAACTTGTTTACACAATTTTTGATAAAATTTTGATATACATTTGAAAAATGTTAATATTCACGATGAATTGTTAACGGTTGGTTATTATTATTTGACTCTCTTTTTATTTATTTATTTATTTATTTTTATTTTTACTTTCGGAATATAGGAAAAACCATATGAAAACGGATTCTTGTTGACTATTTGGACGGGTCTCGTTTAGTTCCAGTTGAAATTTTCTATCGTCGTGACGTTGCATCAACGACAGGCACACAATAACTCCAAGCTTCGAAGACAATTTAGAGGTAACCGGAATATCGATACTGTATTGTTAAAGGGTATTGAAAATCGAATAGTAATATAGAAAAAGATAGATAGAGAAAGAGAAAAAAAGTAAATAAGGATAGAATATAAAAAGAAAAAGAAAATAAAACAAATATAAATCGTTCTTTGATTTTCTTAAAAATTGCAAAATTATTTTGACACACTTATTCAAAATTTTACACACGTATCCCATAAATTACAAGAAAGTAATAATAAAAAAAAACAAAAAAAAACAAAAAAAAATAAGAAATTTTCGAACAAATCGATCGTATCGTAAATTATTTGTGAATAAAATGATTTGAAAAAAAAAAAAGAATCATTCAGCAAATGAAAATAGGTTTGTAGTTTGGTCGAATAGATCATCTAATTGCAAGTTTGAGAACCACTGATTCTAAAGTAGGTGTCTCGGTTTGATAGCTCTTTAATATTCCGCCGGAAACGAACGGAAGTTTGTCAAGTGCGATTCGTGGAAAGGGTTTACCACTCGAACGAACATCATTACAGAAAGGTCGAATAGAGTCATCTTGAGAGAAAGAGGGAGAGAAACTCGTAAGTACTTAACTTTCGATTCTGAACATTCTCGAGTTTTGTATTTTTCTTTTTTTTTTTTCTTTTTATTTTCCTTCCAGTTTTTTATTCAGTAAAAAGGTTAAAAAAAAGTGAAAATGTTTGATTAAATTCGGAAATAGGCTTAATTGTTTCGATACTTATTATTCATAATATTCAAAAGGGTTGTAATCAAAGATCTTACCTTTGTAAGAATCACTTGTTTTTTTTTCCTATCGTGACATTTCGACGTTAAAGTATTTGTTATCGAGTATACTAAAATCTACTCATTCGAACATAATCCTTTTATATGAGGTAGCAGCCTATATGCTACGAATACGGTTTTACACTAAACGTTGTTGAATCGACGCAGATGCTCGTAATTCTAAACTGAGAACACTGCACGTTCAACCTGCACGATTGTTTACGCGCACGCTATTATATTATACAAAATAGAAGGATAAAAAGATAAAGAAAAATAAAAAAGATATATGGATTAAACTAAGGTCGAGATTTATATTTTTATACACACCTGAACTTCTAAGGCATGGTAAGCAAATATGAGGCCAAGCAGTATCACAGTAGACACGGAGATCAAGGTTTTCAGTGCTGTCGAGTAAAACGAGGCCTGTAACATAGAAATTAAAAATATTTTATTAATTAATTATTAATCATTGTGATATACATGAATAAATTCATTTGAAAATACTTGTACGTATATATATATATATATATATA